TTCTTTCTTGAGTGGCTGCGCGAGCGCAGAGCGGTATGCCTGCCGCCCAACGCGCAGGCCCCGCACGGCGGGGCCCGCGGATCTGAGCACAGGTAGTGCAAAATCCAGAGCGAGAAGTAGCCTTAGGTCGGGCATGTCCTCCTACGGGCACGTTCTGGAAGAAAACAAAAACAAAAGTCAAAAGATATCAAAAAATTGTGAAGAAGTATTCGAACGATCGTCCCCCGATTATTGATTGACTGTCTTTGAACATTCCGCCTGTAGAGGGACATGCCCGACTTTATCCTGGTGGGGAATGATGAACGGGCGAAGAACGGTTTAAATAAACTTTTCCGCTGTCGGGGGCGCCTGTCCAAGGGCGGTTGGACAGTTTATACCCTTACGGTGGCACGTCAAAATATAAACTTTCCAGCCGCCCTGGGACAGGCGCCCCCAGTGACGGAAAAATTTATGTTATACCGTTCTTCGTCCGCTGCAATGAGAGCAAGCTTGCACAGGTGCAGAGGCTGCGCGCCACGTCGATGCACCAGCACCTGCGGATCATCTGCACCAGGAGCGGAGATATTGGCTCATGTTGCTCCCATCGTACTGAAGCACCACATCCCAGAAATTATTTCGAGCCCAGAAAAGTGTCGAAACAGTGACGAACGAGTGTCGCCTCCCAGGGCCCGACAGGTGAAAAACCTCAAGTTTTGGTACTTTCTTGATGCTCGAAATTCTCTGGTGGTCAAGGCTAAAACAGGTTGGAACATCACAAAGATTGGCGGAGTCCGCTCACGTTTGTGCCTCAGTCCACCCACTTGCTCAGGTAATTGCTGGCCTTCAGCGCGGCGGCAACCTCCTCGGAGCTCATCTTCCCGTACTTCGAGACGTCCTTGGCGTTCTCCCACTCGAAGAACTTGACGCCGCCCTTGGTGACCGGCTCGCGTCCGAAGTGGCAGTACGCTGCGGTCTCCTGATACTTCGGCTCGCGAAGCGCAAGAGACATGGCGATGGCGCCAGGGCGGCAGTCGAACTCGATCTTCAGCACGTTGGTGATGTCCTCTGCGCTCAGTGCGCCCTGCTCGGTGCCATAGGTCTCCAGGAAGAGGGAGAGCGGCTTGGCCACGCCGATGGCGTACGAGAGCTGCACCAGCGCGCGCTTGCAGAGGCCGCTCTTGACCACCGACTTGGCCATCTGCCGGCAAATGTACGCGGCGGAGCGGTCCACCTTCGTGGGGTCCTTCCCGGAGAACGCGCCGCCGCCGTGGGCGCCCCAGCCGCCGTAGGTGTCGATGATGATCTTGCGGCCAGTTAGGCCGGCGTCGCCCTGGGGACCGCCGATGATGAACTTGCCAGACGGGTTGATGTACATGTGCGTGAAGTCGCCGAACAGGGATATGGCGGGCTTTCCATTCTTCAGCTTGATCTCGGAGAGCGTCTTCTTCACCACCTTCTCTGTGATCAGCTTGTTCATCTCCTCCATGCTCGGCGCGGTCATCTCAGGGCCAGTGTAGCCGGCGCACTCCTTGGTGCGCTTCGCTTTGGAGGGCTCCGCGTGCTGCGTGGAGATGACCACGGTGTGGAACTTTTGGGGCTCCACGGAGCCGTCGGCCTTCTGCAAATACTCGATCGTGACCTGCGTCTTGCCGTCCGGGCGCAGCCACCAAAGCTCCCCGCTCTTGCGCACGTCCGTCAGGGTCTTGCCCAGCTTCGTGGCCACGGAGTGAGTCAATGGCATGCAGTCCTCAGTCTCGTCGGTAGCGTAGCCGAACATGATGCCCTGGTCGCCGGCGCCCACATCCAAATCCTCCTTCCCGACGTGCACGCCGCCCGCAATGTCTGGGCTCTGCTTGTTGATGCGCACGAGCACCTCGCAGGTCTTGTCGCTGAGGCCCTTGCTGTCCACGCTGGAGAGGTCGTCCTCGAACGAATCGAACCCGATCTTGGCCACCACCCCACGCACCACCTTCTCGTAATCAATCTTTGTCTGGGTAGTGATCTCGCCGGCAACCATCACCATGTTGTCCTTCGTGGCTGTCTCGCACGCCACCTTGCTCTTGGGATCCCCGACGAGGCACGCATCGAGCACCGCGTCGGACACCTGATCGCAGATCTTGTCGGGGTGGCCCTCGTTGACGGACTCGGAGGAGAACAGGAAGACTCTCTCGGTCTTGGCCTTCTTCTGGGCAGGCTGCGCCATGGCAGAGGTCGCGAGGCCAGTGGCCAGACGGAGTGCGCGCGAGGCCGAAAAGAAGCCAGAGGCACGCTGCCCTGGAGCGAAATGGCTTCAGCCAAAATGGCTAGATACACTATGCACCAACCCTCGGCCCACGTGGGCCTGGCTGGGATCGGTGTATGCGCTAAGTTCTCTACATGCGACAGGTGGATGCGAGGGTGCTGCCCGCTCGAGGACAGGGTACGGCAAGTTCGCGTCGCGCCGACCTGCGCGCTGGTCTCTGACACCGCGTGGAGCGTTCAGCCCTCAACGATCGCGGCCTGAAAGATGACCGCTTTCTGGCAGCGCCGAAGGCTCGACACCGGCCGATTCCGCGCCACCGTCGGCGTACAACCGTAAACGCCCGCGCTGGGGCCGCTGTCGCGTCGACACGACGCGACCAGTATCGGCGCTGCCGCCCGCCAGAGGAGAGAGGGGTGGAGGCATGCCGAGGGGCACGAAGGTGCCAGCCTGCAAGGCCGCCTCCTCATCCTCCTCCGCCTCCTCCCCCTCCCCTTCCCCCTCCTCCTCCTCCTCCCCCTTTTCCTCCTCCTC